AGTTGTCAATTCTCCTACAGGCACTGTGAACTCTGCTCCCTGCCTTTAAAGACAAGAAGAATGGCTCATCATCCCTATGGAGAATGAAGGGATTGTCTTTGTCAAGCCCTTACAAGTTTCATTACCCCCAGTGTCCTTGTCTCTGTATAGAGCCAACCTGCAGTACATGTCCGAAACTGGACTAAGGGAAGAAGGAATTATCTGTGCCTATGGTTTATCATCTGTGCAAACATGGCAGTCACTTTTATTGAGAGCTTGCACTGAGTATTTAATCCATTCTACCCAAGCATTCACAAACCTAGATTCTGTTTCCACTTCTAATGTTTGTCTTAGGTCTTATACCTCAATTACTTCTACATTTTCAGGGTCATTCTTAAACATTTCCATAGGGGGGAATAACAGGAAAAAGGTCTGGGTTTGGCGTTGAATTCTGGGAAGTAATGATTTGGAAAACAAATTGACTCACAGGGTCCCATCTAGGGATGTGGGCACCTATCCATAGAACTGGGTTGCTACTCTTGGCTCGCTATAATAGAGATAAGCCCTGGATCCTCCAATTTCCCACAGGATAAAACTTGTCAAACACCTGATTTGATGGTTTGAGGAAAAGATGCCATAGTTACATCTACTATCAACATTTTTGGCTGGTCCTAGGCAAAAGTCTTTTGCACCTCTCCCACGGTAATGATACATTTTAGCCATATTAGCTTCCAAACCCATCCCATCTTGTCAGGGACAGGTTAGAACCCCTGGACCCTAGGCCTCTCCTACTCTGGTTTCATATCTACCCCTTTACCTGAATCCAATCCTACTAAACAGGGATTAAGGAAGGGGGAAGGACATCTTTAGTCCAACAAGAATAGTAACACTGAAAAGAACAGCCTGGAGACAAAAGAAAAAGCTATCAAGACCGGAAACCCTAATAGAAACAGTTGGCCACAGGCACACAACCCATGAAGAAAATACTCCATTTCCAATAAGCCTGCGCCCCTTTACTAAAAATTGATAAATACTCAACATACCACTCCTCCTAATCAATAAGTATTAGCCCACTCTTTAAGAGGACAAGACCCTATACCTTTATATAAGCCCCAGTGCACCCCAATTCCAAAGGGTCTTCTCCACTTGGGAGACAGACCTGCTTGTCTTTGAAATGTACTCTCTCTTTGACTTAATCTTTGCCCCCAATTCTACCAGGTCTAATTCTTTAGACACCTCCCACCCCACCCCACCCCACCCAGAGCGAGAGGGACCAGGGAAAACCGTAACAATCTGGCAGCAGTAAGGCAAGGCAGCCTCAGACTCTTGTCAAGGTCACTTTGAGGAGCTCCCTGGGCAAGGGATCTGCTTCCCACCAGTAACTACTTTTCCCTTAGGGAGCATCCCTCTTTACCTTCACCGGTCCCTTTACTTGAATACAATGAGCCCACTCCTTTTCTACTGTCTGAACAGCTGTCTCATTGTCAACCATGCCTGGTAAGGGCCCTCCCATTCCGGCTAGTCTGTTCTCTTTTCAGGTCTAGATCAGCACCAAGTCTCCAGGTCAGAAGTGATGAATGGTAAATTCAAAGGAAGGAGTTTGGATCAAGAGTCCTTTTAACCTGAAGGTTAGCAAATCAGAAAGGGCCAGCACATAGTTTCTCAGGTAGGGGAGCCTATGGTATGGCGCCCCTTTAGCACTGAATGTCATTCTACTCTTCAGTTTCAAAAATTGAGAGGATTAACAAGATATTCAGGGATAACATACTCTACTACGCTCTGTCCGTTTCCTCAAACTAAAAGAAACATTATTGGCTCTGTCATCTTAATGCATGAATATAGTACTTCACTTAAAAGCTTCTCAACAGAAATGCCAATTAAACATACTTTAAGCATTATAACCTTGCCAAATGAACTGAAACTATTAATATTCACGTCTACAGCACAGTATCCTTTTCCTCCTCTTAATAAAATGAAATGCATATATACAGGGTGGCCCAAATTTTAACAAAAAAAAATGTTTTCAATTCAGAAAGAGTATTGGTACACCGAATATCTTTTAAAACAGTATTATGTTCTCAGATATGAAACATTAATACAAAAAAAACCACAAATAAAACCTTGAGCAGTGTACAATTTTGAAAATTACTATTACATGAGTCAAACAAATCCTTAACCACCTTTTAAATGGATTAATTTATATCATTTTACTATAGAAAGAATATCAAATGTGCTAAAACAGAACAGCATCAAATGTGGAAAATTTATCTTTTGCTGATCTAAAAATGCCATTCTTCCATCCATTATTTTTTCATTTTTGAAATTTAATTTTATGTAACTTTGTCTTTTTTTATTATGTTCATATATTCTACATTATTAAGCATATTTTTAATGTTTATATTAGCTTTTTAAAGATCTGTAATAGAAAAATAAAGGTCTTTAATTGCTAATTCCACCATCACTACTATTTTATGTTACTTAATTGGTTTGTTTTCTTTTTGCTTATGAGCCATATTTTCTTGCTTATTTTCATGCCTGAGAATTTTTGGTTGGATGTTAGACATTTTATATTATTGAGTGCTGGATTATGTTACCTTAAATATTTTAAAGAGTGTTTGATTTTGTTATAAACAGTTACTTTGGATCCTTTTGAGGTTTGCCTTTAAGCTTTGATAAGGATCACAAGGTTGATTTTAACTGCAAGCTTGGCAGTTCAAATTTACTGGCTGCTCCTTGGAAATCCTATACAGGGTCACTATGAGTCAGAACTGACTCAAGGACATCTAACAACAGCAACAAATAGTTGGTTCAGATAAGTTTTGGGGCTCTGTTACTAATCTGTGACCCTTTAGAGTACTTTACCCAGTACCCTGTGTTTCAAAGGTTACAGCACTTTGTCTGGTGATAATGTGTACTATTCCAAGGCCTGAGTGACCTTTGGTAATTGTTTAACCTCCTGTTTTCCTTTGATGTCTTCTCTAGCTTTGGGGAACTTCACTGTTGTATATTCAGATAATTATTTAAATAAACACTCAAAGGGGAACTCTTTTCAGGTCTCTGGAGCTTTTTTATTTCTCTTTGTAGCTCCTTCCTCTTTAATTTTTTGCCCCAAAGATTTTAACCACCTCTCTTCTCAATCTCCTCCATCTGACAAGACTGCCAGGCTCTGTTGCCTCTGTAGGTGGGGCATCCTGGGATCCTTAGAGCAGTAAATTAGGGCAAGGAAACGACTCACCTCAATTGTTTCCCTTCACACATGGATCACAGGCCTGCTCTCTTATCAGTTGTCTGACAGCTGTTATAGTTTATCAAGTTTTCTAGTTTACAATGGGATAGCAATTCCAGAAGCAAAACTTTTTCATGAGCAGAAGCAGGAACCCTCTCCCATGTTTTTTTAATGGCTGTATAATGCTCTGAAATGTTGTTGTTGTTTTTTGTTGTTAGGTGCCATCAAGTCAGGTCTCTTAGCAACCTTATATACAACAGAACAAAACACTGTCTGGTCCTGCTTTAGCCCTAGAATTGTTATTTATTATGTTTGAGTTCATTATTGCAGTTACTGTGACAGTCTGTCTTGTTGAGAATCTTTGTCTTTTTCTCTCTATTTTACCAGCATGATGTCCTCCAGGGACTGGTCCCTTCTGATAATATGTCCCAAGTATGTGAGAGCAAGTCTCACTATCGTGACTTCTGAGGAGGTTTTAGCTACACCTTTTCCAAGAAAATTTTGCTTGTTCTTCTGACAGTCCCTGGTGTATTTAATATTCCTCACCAACACCATAATTCAAATACACTAATACTTCTTTGTTCAACCTTATTCACTGTCCAGCTCTCTTTCACCTTTTGCATGCCTCTGAGGTGACTGAAAATACCATCGCTTGGGTTAGGCACACCTTACTCCTCAAAGTTACATCTTTTGCAGCAGATTTGCTCAATGCAATGTCATTTGATTTCTTTACTGCTACTTCTATGAGTTGATTGTGGATCCAACTAAAATGAAATCATTGATAACTGCAAAATTTTCTCCATTGTCCTGTTGTTGCTTATTGGTCCTTTTGTGAGGGGTTTGGTTTTCCTGTTGTGAGGAGTTTGGTTTCCCTGATGCTGAGATTTAATCCATACTGAAGGCTGTATTATTTAATCTTCATCATTAAGTGTGTCAAGTCCTCTTCACTTGCAGGAAGCAAGATTTTATCACCTACATGTTGTTAATGAGCTTTCCTCTGATGCCATGTTCTTGTTTGTAAGGTAGCTAATGCCTCTGAGATGTCACCCCAATATATAAATATATGTGTATGTGTGTGTGTTTTAGTGTAAGTGGTGATAAACTTTTTGTAAGGGGCAGAGTAAATATTTTAGGTTTTGCAGGCCACATCGGATCTTTTTTGCATATTGTTTTTAGCATGCTTTGTTTTGTTCTTTTTAAAACCTTTAAAAATGTCAAAATAATTCTTAGCTCATGAGTTATACAAAAACAGGCCGTTTTCTGGCCCCCATGGGTCGGAACCGACTTGACGGCACTTAACAACAACAACAACAACAGCAACAACTTCAGTTTTACTTAGTATAGAGCTCTAAAAGTAGAATTGGTTAAATAGTAGTCCTGGTGTGGTGCTGTGGGTTAATGCGCCGGACTACAAAATCCATTCTAGCAGCAAGGTTCAAACTCACCAGCTGCTCCTTAGAAACCCTATACAGGGTCGCTATATATGGTTTTTGAGACTATATATGGTTTTTAGACCTATATATGGGTTTTGAGACTAAATCTTTACAGGAGCAGACAGCCTCATCTTTCTACTATGAGCAGCTAGTGGGTTTGAACTTCTGACCTTCTAGTTAGCAGCCCCATGGCTAACCTACAGCACCACCAGCACACCTTGAAATTATGGTAGACTCTTTCAAATTACTCTCCAAAGAGATTGCACCAATTAACACATTAAACTGTTGTATACTGAGAATGTTATGATGCATTTGTAGTGGTCTTTTCAAATACTAATTGTATTTCTCTTTCTGGCATTTAGTACCATGTTCAACTCCATGTGTAAATATTCCTGCCTCTCCATTTATGCAGAAGCTTGGCTTTGGTACTGGAGTAAATGTTTACCTTATGAAAAGGTGAGTATTTCAGATTAATGGTTTTATATGGAGTAGCGTAGTGGTTACGAATTGGACTGCTAACCTCAAGGCTGGCAGTTCAAAACTACCTGCCGTTCCGCAGGAGAAAGATGAGGCTTTCTGCTTCTGTAAAGATTTACAGCCTCGGAAACCCTGTGCAAGGTCACTATGAGTCAGAACTGACTCCACGGTAAATATAGTTCCACTGTACTTGGTAACAAAAAGAATATATAAATTCATATATGGATATTTGAATCTGATTTTATCCTACCTGACTACTATATCCCAGAACCTTTATTAACTTTTCCAGAACATTAGCTAGTGTCCTCTTCTCCTTAAAATGGCTGAATCTCCCCAGAAAATAAACAACTTACATTTTTCTTATTTGTATATGTATTATGATCTTAAGCTTAAATGTATGTCTTTGATTATGTGGTGAAAAATGGTATTAAATGAACCGGTCAATGTAGAGGTACAATATTTGTTGATGAAGAGTTCTATTTAAATTTTTTAGATAATTGTATATGGATCAAATTTTTTGTATGTTTGTTTATATCTTCCTTAAATTTCCTTGAGATTACTGTTTATTACTTTAGCATTCCATAGTTAATTTCTGATACATATTAGTTAAGTATCTGATAATTCATGCTTAGTTGGAAAAATTAGAAAATAGCATAGTGATTCTTAAATTTAAAATTCCATCCTTCTTCTCCTAATTCTAACTATTCCTTCTCAGTGTATAAATAGCTGACTTCTTTCAGTATATCAAAATATTCCAGTATATCTTCCAGCTGAAAAGAAAACATAGCAGAGGTGGTGATAGTCTATAAATACTTTTAAAAAACAAATTATTATTGTCTTTTTCAAAATGCAGACATTCTTTTTAATCATTCAAAAATATATTTTGTTTTTTATACTTTTCTATTTTTTATTCTTTTCTGTATACTTTTTTCTAGGGAGAAAGATAAGACTTTCTACTCCTGCAAAGATTTCAAGTCTCAGAAACCCTGCTATACAGGGTCTCTGTGAGTCGGAACCGATTCAATGGCACTTAAAGACAACATATACTTTTTGCCTTGCTTTTTTTTTCCTTATTGAGTTTTTAGAATCCTGCTGTGTACTTTAGAATAAGCACTGGACTGCTAACAACGAGGCCGCCAGTCCAAGCCCTCCAGCTGCTCTTTGGAAACCCTACACATTGTCACTTTGAGTCAGAACCAGCTTGATGCTACTTAGCAACAACACCGCCATTGAGTTTTGGTGTGAGTTTACATAGCAAGTTAGGTTCCCATTTGGCAGTTTTCAGACAGAGTGTTTAGTTACATTTATCACAATGTGCCAACATTTTCTTTGTAATCAGTTTGTTGCCTTTCCAGTACTATAGTTTCTCTACCTCCTTATCGTCTCATCTTTGCTTTTGAGTAATTGTTGACTTTTTGGTCTCATATACACTTATCTGTACAGGTCATGTCTTTTATTTTGTGTGCCATTCTGCTGTTTCACTTTAAGGTGATATAGGGATAGCTTTGTTCTATATTTAAAAATTATTTTGGGGAAGTTATCTCAGGGAATCATCTGTTCTCCACTGCTACCATTTGTCTGTCTTTTTTTAAAATTAGAATTTGAGTTTCACTCCCTGTTTTTCTCCCATTTTATTTGGCAACAACTATTGTTTCATAACATTATGGTCAAAGAAGATTCTTTGTACGATTTCAATCTTTTATTTATTTTTCAACTTTGTATTGTGAATCGAGTAAAGGTTTACAAAGCAGATTATCAGTTTCACATTTAGCAAATCATTATACACTTGCAGTCCCCTCCATGCACCAATAGTTAACAGTATTTACCTCTATTTACTCCACAACTACTGCATTTTTCCTGTGTGTGATTTCAGTCTTTTAAAAATTTTTGAGATTTGTTTTGTGTCCTAGCATATTGTCCATCTTAGGAAATGATCCATGTGTGCTGGGAAAGAATTGCCTTGTTCCGATGTTGGCTGCAGTGTTCTGTTAGGTCTGATTGTCTTATGGTTTTAGTCAGATTCTCAAAATCAGTATAAGTAGCTTTCTTCTTATATGTTCTGAGTATAATTGAAAGTGATATGTCCGCCTACTATAACTGTGGAGGTGTCTATTTCTCCTTTCATATTAGTATTTGCTTCCTGTATTTTGATGCATTACTCTGTGTAAGTATGTATATCTGTATATACACATATGCATATAAATGGGAACATGGTAGCTCTGTACAATAAGCACTGACCTGTGAACCACAAGGTTGCTAGTTCAAACGCACCAGCTGCTCCTTGGAAACCCTATACAGGGTTGCTATGAGTCGATTCCGACTTTTAGTTTACTGTGATAACATCACCACTTGTATGTTACATAACACAACTTATTATTGCAATAACTTTTACATACAGTGAACATAATACACCCTTAATATAATAAATCTATTCCTGACATGCTTCTTTCTCTCTCATTTCTCTTGTTCTCATTTCTCATATCAATATACATTGTATATTGTATAAGTTTACTTGTATTTCTTACAAACTTGATGTTGTACTGTTTGCAGGATTTAATTATTGCATTTATTTCCTGAGAACATCATATACTTGATCCTTATAATTTCCTACCTGTTTTTTTGACTTTTTTTTTTTTTTTTTTCACCTATTGTATGAACAAGTATTTATTTCATGTTCTTTCCTTCCCATTTGGTGTACCCCTTGACTAATACTTGCAGAACTGGTCTGATAATGCCAACTCCCCAGAGCTACTATTTGTTTGGAAATGTCTTGATTTACCCCTCTTGTTTTTGAAAGGCAACTTTGCTGAGTAAATAATTTTCTCACTCACTCACTCACTCACTCACTCACTCACTCACTCACTCACTCACCACCACTGGATGGATTTTAACTCATTGTGACCCAGTCTAGGATTTGCAAGGTCGCAAATCTTTCAAGAGCAGAAAGCCCCATCTAGTGGAACTTCTAGTTAGGATTAGTCCATATCCCACAGAGTTCCTTCAAGAATATAGTTTGGCAGTTGTTTTCTTTCACTATTTTATGTTTGTCACTCCATTGGCTTCTAGAGTTTCTTAGGAGAAATCTACACTGTTTCTTATGAAAGCTCCTTGGTACATTATATTGTATTTTATTCTTGCTGCTTTCAGAATTCTTTCCTTATTTTCAAGAATTTTCTTAGGATATGGCATGGAGTTGATGTTTTTATGTCTCTTCATTGAGGTTTGTGTAGTTTCCTGTATTTGCAGGCTTGGTTCACTATTTAGATGGGAAATTCTGTTTATTGGAAATACCTTTGTCATGATGCTCTGGAATTCCAGTAAATCTAATGCTTTATCTCCTTTGGGGTTTTGCTTTTCTTGCCTCTTTTCTCATTTCTCTTGAAACTGATAATACTCCATTATTTTACCTTCTAGTTCATTAATTCTATCTTCTATTGTTGAGTGCTTCTCTTGCTGTTCCAATTTAATTGTTTTATTCTTCAATTCCAGTCATTTTCTTTTTTAGGAACCAGCACACCCTTTGAATCTGTTTTAAGGCTTAAAAAGTGTTTTAAGTGTGTATTTTTTCATGGGAAAATATCTGAATGAATATCCTGGTGGCAAATGAGTGTAAAATGGCTCAGCTGCATTGGGGGCCACAGGGAAGGGTGGTCTCAGAGCACCCCAGCTTTCTTGATGAGAAGGTCAGAGGTATACTGGTTTGTATTATTGCGACATCCACAGAGTGCTCTGGGTTGCTTTTCCTTCAGCAAGGACTTTGTCAGCATTAGGCTTGACTTCCAAATTTGGCTGACAATTTATTGATGAGATTCATGATCTTAGGATTACTCTGATATTTGGACATATTTGCTGGGTTCTGAGCCACATCCTGGAAGGCCACCATAACTTCTGGATCCTATATGGCTGCAAGAACCACTGGATTGCCCCCAGGAAAGTGACCAAGCATTCCCCAGGGAAAGCCACATGGAAAAGAGCCATGCCGCGCTCCTGATTGTCTTCTGGTTTCTTCTGGAGCCTTCTTAGCCCTCTCTATTCTTTCTTTGATCTCTTGCTCTTCATATTTTCACTTAGGCTTTCCTCCATGTTTGACAATTTTCTGGGTCCTCTGGTGAACTTCTTTCTGCATTGCACTAGCATCTTCATCATAGTCCAGTTTACAAGCAAGAGCCAAGGTCATGTTCTGCTTCTTCCCAATGGCCCAGAAGTCTGTGTAGTTTACTTCACCACTGGTAGGGCTCAGCTGAATCAGGAGTGATTTCAATAGCTCGGTTACAGTCTTGGATGGCAGCATTTGGCTCTTGTAATGTTTTTTTTTTTTAACTATTTATTGTAAATTGAGTGAAGGTTTACAGAGCAGATTATCAGTTTCACATTCAACAAATCATATACTTTGCTTCATTATATGTTTGTAATCCCCTCCCTGCACCAAACAGTTAACAGCATATACATCTATGTACACCAACCACTCCATTCCTCCCCTGTGTCTTCTGCCACCCCTGTCTTCCCTCTGCCAACCTCCCTCCGGTTTTATATTTGGCTTCTGAGATTTGATGAAGACACTATCTCTCTTGGCATACAAAATGGCCAAGCAAGGATTCAGTTGGATGGTATCTGTGAACAAGTCAACAGCTTATTGTTGTTCACCATCACTGAGAGCATCACTGGCAGCCACTTTCTTATCATTTGCCTGCTCCATCATCTCTTCAGTTATCTCTACAGTTTCAGCTCACATTTCTTGAGGGGTATCTCTGTTGGGTTCAGTCATACCTTCATTATTAATTTCTAGGTCATTTTGTTCACTGGATGATTCGTCTGTCTTTATGCTTTCTTCTGGCTTCTTATTATCTTTTTTTTTTTCTTCCTTGTTATTCTCTTCTGATTTTGCTTTCTTGAGTAGCAGGTGGTATTTTACCACCCATCCTCTCCACCCACTCCCTCAGGAAGCGCATTTTCTCAGTGTGCAGGACGCTTGGGTCCTGCTTAACAGTTTCCCGGAGGCCTGCGGCTTGCTCACTTTGTGGGGGTAAATGGTCCGCAGGCAGCAGGAAGCGGAGGGTGCGGCTGAGGAGACTGGAGCCTGAGTCCAGGCCCAGGCGTTAGTTCAGTGTGACTGTGTAGAAGTCTGGTTTTCTTTTTATGTTTTCAATTTGTATGCTGAGTCTTCATTTTGTTCCTCCATTTGTGTCCTGATCTTCACTCATTTGTTCTTTCTGCTTTTTTGAACATATTTAGCACCATGGTCTAAAAATAATTCTTTGCATTATTTTGGCCTTCAGAAGACATATTTTTCTTCATGTTTTCTGATTTTGTGTATTTTACTATTTCTGTTGAACTTTGGCCATTTTCTTACCTTTTTTTTTTTTTAACTGTGTTATTCTATGTTGAGTGTTTTTTGGTAAAAAATTTTTTAAAAATGGTCTATTGTGAATTATATGATAGTTTACATGGGAGAACATTAGTTTTATATTCATTCTATCGTATATCATCTCATTGCAATGATTCCAGTCCCCTCCATGCATCATCAACCAAACAAAGGGCATACCCTGCAAGCCTGCTCCCTATACTCCTCCCCCGTGTTCAGCACACAGTCCCTCTCCCTCTCTGGATCTAAAGTCCCCAGCTGCTCCATCTCACCACGTCATCGTCTCTGCCTCCATCTCAGGCATCACTGCTTCTCTGGGTAGGGTCCAGCTCTCACTCTTCTCCGTTGATGGTCCTAGGGACCTCCGCTCCTAGACTGGAAAGTTAATCACTCCCTTCCTTGCTATAAAACGTCTTTGGTAAAAATTTTTGATTGAATGCCCTTGTGATGCAGCTAGCAACCAAAGTCTGGGCCTGCATTCACCAGCTGCTCTGGAGAACAAAGATGCAACAGCATCCTCTGCAAAGACTGACATCCTTGTGAACCACATGGAGCTGCTAAGCTCAGCTCCACATTCCCTCTGAGTCAGAATCCATCCAGTGGCCCTGGGCTCGGTGTCTTCTCCTGAGAACCACCAGAGGGCACTCTTATCCTTAAAATTTTCCAGCCCTGTTTCAGGAGTTCTAGATACTTGGTCTCTGGAATTTTATATACATGCATGGGGAGGGGGGCCAGTTAGCTTTTCACAGACACTAATGTAAGTGTTGGAGTTCGACTTTGCTGTGGTATCTTTCCCTCATGGGTACCCCTACATAGGCTTGCCCACAGTGTTGGCTCCATGTCAAGATTTTCCCTCACCCTGCTGTACCATGCTGGTCCTCCTTTCCTGGTATGCATCCATCTTGGGCTTCAGTGAGTTTCAATAGCACTTGTGTGCAGTGCCATCTGTCCCTTCACTCCCTCCCAATTGCAGGGCCTGCAAACTCCCACAGCCAATTTGCCCACTTTAAAAAATCTGGTTACAGCGTCTGTAGATTCTGTGTTTCCTGTCTGGGGTGTTACCCAGCTCTATCCCAAAATGGCTGTGATAAGTGAGCACTCCAAATGTTGGTGGATAGGTTTTCCAAGTATCTGTGCTGCCCCCAACTTTTTCTCTCCTCTACTGTTGTACTCACCCCAAGTCTCCAATACCTGAGCTACCACCTGGAGTTCCAAGATCTCAGTCATTCTGTAGAGTGTCCAATCACTTGTCAGTGTGCTACACCTCCCTTTCCTTTATACTTTCTGATTTTTTTTTTAAAAGGTCTCCAAGAGGTTTGTCTCGTTCTCCTTGGGCTGTGAAAAAGATTAATTCTAAATGTAATGATCATTATCAAAGTATGTATCAAAAGAGACTGACTGATGAAGCTAATATTTTGAAAAACCTTCATCATCCAAACATTGTAGGTAAGTTGAAATTTTATCTGGCATAATATTAATTTTGTTTCTCCAGAAACAACTTATATAGTCTCTCCATTTATTTCACTGTTAAAAATAAAGAAGGTGAAGGTAAGGTAGAAAAGGTTGATTTGTAAGATTCAAATTAATGAGAATGTTTGATTTTTAATGTATAATTATATGTTTGAATTTGATGTAAAGTGACATGGTCGTGGTGTTAGCACTGTGAAAAATTTAGGAATATAAAATGATCTTCAACCAATTTCTGATTTTCATTTTGAATTTCCTACAAGAGAGCTGGTAAAGGTACTGCATTTAGGACTGTATTAAAAAGCTTTTTAGTTTGTAGTACTATTGGCAAGTCTCGGAAGGTATTTTAAATTTGATTTCCTGAATTACGTAGTAGCTGTTGCATGATTTGACAGTGTTCATTGATATATATCTCTTCTGTCACTGTACTGTGAACAATATAAGCACTATTGTTCTCTCTCTCCTAGTAAGAAAGTCATCCTTTTCTTTAAGGTTATCGTGCTTTTACGGAATCCAGTGATGGTAGTCTGTGTCTTGCTATGGAATATGGAGGTGAAAAGTCTCTAAATGACTTAATAGAAGAACGAAATGAAGACACCCGAAATCCGTTTCCAGCAGCCATAATTTTAAAAGTTGCTCTGAACATGGCAAGAGGCTTAAAGGTAACTGACTATGTTGTTGTTGTTAAGTACTGTGGAGTTGGTTTCAACTCATAGTGAACCTGCACAGAGTTTCTAAGGCTGTAAATCTTTACGGGAGCAGAACACCTCATCTTTCTCCCGTGGAACCGCTGGTAGTTTTGAACTGCCGACCTTGAAGTTAGCAGCCTGATTCATAACCACTACGCTACCAGAGCTCCTTAACTAACTATATATACCATTATATGTTAGATGATTTTTGTCAAATATGAACACATTAAATATAGGTAGTCCCCAGGGTCTGGATGAGATCTGTCCCTGTGTCTTTAGCCTTATTTTGTTGTTAGTAGGTGCCATTGAGCAAATTCCAATTCATAGTGGTCCTGTGGGACAACAGAACAGAACTGCCCACTCCGGCACCATGCTCACAATTACTGTGTTTGAGCCCATTGTGTAGCCACTGTGTCAATCCATCTCGTTGAGGGTCTTCCTCTTTCTCTGATCCTCTACTTTACCAAGTATGATGTCCTGTTCTAGGGATTGGTCCTTCATGACAATATGTCCAAAGTACATGAGGTGAAGTCTCGCTATCCTCACTTCTAAGGAACGTTCTGGCTGTACTTCTTCCAAGACAGATTTGTTCTTATGGCAGTCTATGATACTTCCAATATTCTTTGCCAACACCATAATTCAAATACATTAATTCTTCTGCAGTCTTGTTTATTCATTGTTCAACTTTCAACATGCATATGAGGCAGTTGAAAATGGGTCAGGCACACCTTAGTCCTCAAATTGACATCTTTGCTCTTTGATGAGTTAAAGAGGTCTTGTGCAGCAGATTTGCCTAATGCAATACATCATTTGATGTAGTGACTGCTGCTTCTATGAGTGTTGATGGTTGATCTGAGCAAAATGAAGTCTTTGACAACCTCAGTCTTTCCTCCATTTATCTTAATGTTTATTAGTTCAGTTATGAGAATTTTCATTTTCTTTACATTGAGGTGAAAGCTGTATTTGATCTTCATCGGTAAGTGCTATAAGCCCTCTTTGCTTTCAGCAAGCAAGGTTGTATCATCTGCATATCACAGGTTGTTAATGACTCTTCCTCCCATCCTGATGCTATATAGTCATATAATTCAGCTTCTTGGATTATTTGTTCAACCTAAAGATTGAGTAAGTATGATGGAATAATGCAACTCAGATATATTCCTTCCTGATATTAAACGCTGCAGTGTCCCCTTGCTCTTTTTAAATGACTGCCTCTTAGTCTTTGTCTAGGTTTCACGTGAGCACAGTTAAGTGTTCTGGAATTCTCATTTTTTGCAGTGTCATGTATAGTCTGTTAGGATCCCACAGTTGAATGCCCTTGCATATTCTAAGTAAACATCTTTCTTTTTGAATGATCTTCAGCAGAATTTTATTTGAATTTGATATTAATGATACTGTTTGATAATTCCCACATTCTGTTGGGTCGCCTTTCTTTGGAATGGACACAGATAAGGATCTCCTCCAGTCTGTTGGCTAGGTAACTGTCATCCAGGTTTCTTGGCATAGACTCATGAGTGCTTCCAGCATTGCATCTGTTTGTTCAAACATTTCAGAAATTTGTAAATTGTCAATTCCTGAAGCCTGGTTTTTCATTACTGCCTTCAGTGCAGCTTGGTCATACATACCTCCTGAAATGGTTGACCATTGACCAACTCTTTTGATACATGACTGTATTTCTTCCAGCTTGTTTTGATGCTCCCTACATCATTCAGTGGAGTCCTGGTGTGGCGCTGTGGGTTAATGTGTCAGACTGCAAAGCCGTTTGAACTGCAAGCTCAGTGGTTCAAGCTCACCAGTCACTCCTTGGAAACCCTATACAGGGTTGCTATGGGTCAGAACTGACTTGACGGCACTTAACAACAGCAACAACATCAGTCAATATTTTCAGCGTTGTTGTTACGTGCCATTGGGTTGATTCTGACTGTATTATAAGTCAAGACTTGAATATTTTCTTCAGTACTTTAACTTTGAGAAATACTGAGCAGCATGCTCTTCTCTTGGTTTTGTAACTACAGGTATCTGCACATTTTATTATAATACTTTACTTTGTCTTTTCAGGCTACCCTTTGAAATTTTCTGTTCAACTCTTTTACTTCAGTATTTCTTCCATTTGCTTTAGCTTCTCTGGGTTCACCATGGGTCACCCTCCTGGTATTTGAAATACCAGTTATCATAGCTTCCAACATCACAACAACACACAAACCACCAATATGACAAGCTGTCAGACAAGTGGTAGAGCCTTATTGTAGTGGGAAAAAAAAAGATCTCTTGGTGATACCGTGGGTTAAGCTTTTGTGCTGCTAATAGCAAATTTGGTGGTTAAAACCCACCAACCAGCCTGTGGGAGAAAGATGAAGGCTGTCTATGTACTGTAGAGATTTACCATCTAGAAAGTCCTGAGGAACAGTTCAACCCTGTCCTGTAGGGTTGCTGTGAGTCTGAATCACCTTTGTAGCAGTGGGCTTGGTTTGGTTTAATGCAAGAAAAGACTCAAAGCCTTTTCAATGATTCAAAAACTGTACGTGCAACAAGTGAAGGTGACTGTGATGAAGAACTTGTGAGTAGAGGTTGATTTAATCCTTTCAAAGTGAGGGCCAATTGACATATTGTTAAACGGCAGGTAGGCATTATCCTAAAGTCATATGTTAATTTTAACACAGATGTTTCCTGTATCTTAAATACCTACAATACAGGGATTTTTCAGTTTTCCTCCCAAAAGATGGTGGTGTCTTATTGTAGCCTTTTGTAACAATGCACTACTCTGTATTTTGGGGACCTAATATAAGCATCAAGTAACCTAGAGATTGCTTCTTAGACTTCTTTTTAAAAGGTTAATAAATTTAACACAAATTTAGTAATTATTCCTGAGATCTAATCCTATGCATCTAAAGATCAAGGACTACAGCCTTCAGTATAGATTGCACCTCAATGTAAAGAAAACAAATCCTCACAACTGGACCAATCAGTAACATCATGATAAATGGAAAAAAGATTGAAGTTGACAAAGACTTCATTTTGCTTGGATTCACTATCAACACTCATGGAAGCATCAGTCAAGAAATCAAACGATGTATTGCATGAGGCACCTTTGCTTCACAAGATGTCTTGAAAGTGTTGAAAAGCAAAGATGTCAGTTTGAGAACTAAGGTGCACCTGATCCAGGCTCTGGTAGCTTCATAATCATGTGAAAGTTGAGTAATTACTAAGATTTGATTCTTATTTCCTGTAGAAGAATTGATGCATTTAAGTTGTGATGTTGAAGAATATTGAAAGTACCATGGGCTATCAGAAGAACAAACAGGTCTGTGTTGGAAGAGATACAGCCAGAATGCTCCTTGGAGGCAAATACAGCCTAGACTTTGTCTTTCATACTTCAGACATATTGTCAAGAGGGACCAGTCCCTGGAGAAGGACATTTTTATGCTTGGTAATGTGGAAGGTCACTGAGATGGCTTGACATCATGTTAGAAGCAATGGACTCAAGCATCATAACTATAATTGCGAGGATGACACAGGACCGGACAGTGTTTCATTCGATTATGCATAGGATTGCTATGAGTTGGAACCACTCAATGGCACCTAACAGCAATGACAATCCTGTGCTTATGTAAATAAGTCTCTTAGAGATCTCTGGCATGCTGAGTTTGGACACCATGAATGTCATCCCACAAAATAGAATGAAAACTCCTATTTTATGCAAACAAATTATGCCCTTGGATAAAAATTCCCAAAAAAGCTATGAAAGAACACATGCAATTTAAAATATTCGGTATTCTGAGTAACTTAGGCATAAGTAATGATAGCGCTAGAAAACTGTTGGATGACTCAAAAGTCAATCAAATAGTGGTGTTAATAATAATGTTGCTGTCAAGAATTCAGATAAAATTGATTTATGAACTGTGAGATTGGGAAAAAGCAATATTTCTAAGTATGTTTTGAATACATTTATTAAAATCACTGATTTTAGATGAATAAGCTAAACTAACAATAATTTAAGTTATTCCATACATGAAAATATGTAATATTATTGTTAAGTGCTGTCGAATTGGTTCCAACTCATTAATAACCCTGTAT